TTTGTAATTTTCTCCTGTCTTGTGCTTTTTTCATATTCTAGATGGTGAAGCACCAATTTTTTAATCTTGATGAAGTCCCATTTATCTCTCTTTTTTTGTCATTTGTGTTCCAAATCATATCTAAGAAACCACTATTGAAGAAAGGTCATAAAGAGGTATTCCCATGTTTTCATCTAAGAAATTATTTATTTTGAGTTAATTTTATATATGGCATAAGACACAGGTTGTCCAACTTCGCTTTTTTTGCAGCTGGCTATAACCCTGTCTCAAAACCATCTGTTGAAAAGACAATTAATCCCCATGGAATTGTCCATACTTTGTTGAAATTTTTAGTATTTTTTACCATGGGAGAAATGACCCAGGTGTGCGTGTTGCTGGGCCACACCCTGCACAGAGCTGGGAATGCTGATGAAGGGGAAGGAGGAGAATGACTGGAGCAGCAGCCTCCAGAGGGAGAGGGCTGCCCAGTGGAGGGGCTGGCATCGTCAAGGTCAAGGTCAGTATGTAGTATCAGAAGAGATGGGCACAGATGTCAGCAGTGAACTTTCTCTCCTTTCCACGGCGACTCAGCACTGCAGAGAAGCAGAGGACAAGGGCTGGGAGCTGGGAGAAAAGGTGAGCAGCTGCGGAAGTCGGCTCAGAAAATGCAGGACAATGCCCGGAAAATTGCAGCCCCCTCTGAGCTTAGCTATGATGAACTGAAACAGGTGCAGAGGGAGAGAGTGGAGGGATCCAAGGCCTCTGAGGGCTCTCTGTGCTGGGATGTAAGGAGAAAGCTGGTATTTAGTGGCTGCAGGAAGTAGCCCTCCCTGAGGATGGTCAGCGTCACTCCAAGGAGGAGGTCTTTAGTGGTGCAGAGGCCAGCTTGTCCTCTCAAAACAGGAGACAATGCCATTGTCCCTAAATCTAATTAAAGAGGGTAGCAAGGGAGTCACCAGTAAGTCCTCAACTCCTCCAATGCCCCATCTATCTCAGTGGGCTTGGGCTGCCACAACAAATTACCAAAGCCTGGGTACTTAACTAACAATGGGCTTCTACTTAACTTTACAGTGAACATTTATTGCTCACCTATTAGAGGCTGGGAGCCCCAGAAGAGGTTGCCAGCATGGTTGGAATCTGATGGGAGCCCTTGCTTGAAGACAGCTGTCCTCCCACTGTGTCCTTAAGGCAGAGAGATAGTGAGTGAGGTCTCTGATGTCTCTTCTCATAAGGGCATTAATCCCTTCTTGGGAATCCCCACCATGGCCTCATCTACATTGATCACCACCCAAAGTCTACACCAGTAAATACCATCACACTGGGGGTTAGGGCTTCAGCATAGGAATTTGGGACACACAAATTTCAGTCCACAACACCACCCAAACTGCTCTTGACCTCCAGGAAGCCTCGATCTGAACTTCACAACAGAGAAGGGACAGAAAAAGGTTCTGGGCCCTTACAGGGAGCTATCCACATCATTGGCAAACCACATGGAAAAGAAAAATCTTTCATCTTTACATTTTCTATCATTCTATCTTACAGAGTTGTCAGACCTGATATGGTAGCCACAGGTCACACGTGGATTGACACATCGGTAGTCAGAATGTAGATGTGCTATAATTGCAAAACATACACACCAGGTTCCAAAGACTTAATATTTTTTAAAAAGTAAAAGATCTCAATAATCCATTTATATCAATTATGTGTTGAAATGATGATATGTTGGGATACTGGGTTAAATTATTATATGAATTTCATCTGTTTGTTCTTACTTTTAAAAATGTGTTTACTAGAAAATGTAAAATTATATATGTGGCTCACATTTGTGGCATGTATGGGATTCTGTTGGAAAGATGCTGGAGAGAGGACCCCACATTGAAAATGGCCCCCAGCATGGCAGGCCCTCCTGCCGGGGTCCATGGGCGCCTGTGCCACCAGGAGGGATGAGCCTTATAAGTCCGTGTTACAGCAGGACCTTGTCTCCGAGGAGGTAGGGCCCCCGGGTCAGGCTCGTAAGGACACTGCCTTGTGGGGACACAGCCTGGAACCCAGTCCAGGCAGCCTTGGACAGTCCCTGGGAGGCAGCCCCGTGGAGCTGGGGATCAGGCTGGTTCTTTTTTGGTTTAGGGACAGGAAAGTAATGCCCATTTTGCAACACTGGAGTAGCCCCAGGAACGAGATTCCACACCTGGAGAATCTCGGCTTCCCCTGCTTCCTCTGAGCCATGGTCTCCTTGCCTGGGAAGCCGGTAGGTCCCCAGCACCTGTTAAAACTGGTCTTTCTCTTTATTCCCGCCTCGCATGCACGCACGTGTGAGATTGCTGTAAGGTAAATAATGTGTGCGGAGCAGTGTTACTGAACTTCGTACACTCATCCCCATTTACTACTTATTAAAATCGGCCATGATACTGCACAAAGGCAGCTTGACTCCGTCCCTGTTGCTCAGCCCTGGGTTGGCTCCCTTCTCTCCTGCTGCCATAAACCTCAGTGCTATGACTATCTCTATCTTCTTTCCACTTGAATTATTTTATTGGAATATTTCCCCCAAAGTGAAATGTGTTGGCTGGAAAGTATATACAGTTTTGTGGTTCCTGTGACTTCTTTTCTTCAAATCACACTCCCAGCAGAAGGCATCACCATGTACATTCTCCGGCACCCCATGGTGCAACCACACCTAGTCTTGCGCAGTCCGTGGGGTGTGCTTGTGTGTGCTCCATGTACATGTCTTCTGTGTGTGTGCGCTTATGCAGTGACTTCCTCTGGCTCTGCCAGCTCTGGGTTTGATCATCTGTATTTCTTTTACCATTTAATTTTTATCTAACAGATACTGCTTATATATTATCCTGGTATTGCTTAATTGCAGATGACAATGAGTAAAGTCCTTCCCTTAAAAGTCACAAATTCAAGAAACAGCCACCATCTCAATATCCTACCTCTGCTTGCCAGCATTTTGGGTACCCACCACAGCCACCCAGGGGCTGCAAGTCAGCTGGCCAGACGCCAGCTTCACCTTCAGACCCACTGTTATCACAAATGTTATCACATTAATTATAAGTTAATGAAGCCATTTATCTCCTCCAATAAACGGAAAGCACATCAGATAGTCCCTCTTCCCTCTGTATAGACAAATCCTGACATTTCTTAGTTGCCATAATTTGATTGTTCAGGATTAGACACATTCTGGTTTATATGCAAAAAAGTTTGCAGGAGATATGGCTGATGTTCTGTTCATGGTTTATTAAAACCTCAGGAAGACCTCAGCCCCCTCCCCAGGGAAACTCAGTAAAGGTCTCCTTGTGCAGCAACATTCTGGCCTGACAGGTGACCCAGGAAGGCAGGGAGGGAAAAGAGAGAGGATGTCCCTACTTGCCAACCAGAAGGCACCTCTCAATAATTAATGGGGGAAGGATCACTTCCTTCCAAACCTGGAACCCCTTGCATTGCAACACACCCCAATCATGTTTACTTCCAAGCCTGACATCTCAAAAAACAGAAAAATAAAAAAGTTCTTTCTAGCAAAAAATACACCATCTGCTTGTGAAAAATCTTTGCTCAGCAATGTCATGTCAACACCCAAAGTGGGTTAATAACTAGCCCGGAACAGATGGTTTCTTTTTATAATTAGTGGGTCCCCCCACCAAGACTTCCTCCTCAGATGCCTCCATGCCCTCCTGGTAGCCCCCTGCTGTTTCCTGGCCACCATGCTACCACTGCCCAGCCAGCCAGTGCCCTACCAGGCCCAGGGAGCTAGCCTACAGCCAGCCCTCTGCTCAAGCCAGGTCCCCCTCACTTTCTGCTGGGAACCAGCAATGGGGTCGGGGAAGCTTTCAAGACCACCTGGAAAGATGGACCCCAGCAAGTGACCCCAGTCTTGTCTCCCCCACTAGCAAAGAAAAATTAATCAACCCAAGATGTCAGTAATCACCCATCAAATCAATAAAAGTCGAAGACACTATCATCCCATTCCTGCTGAAGATGCAGTGAGATTGTACCCCAAACCCTATGGCAGGGAGAACAAGTTATCCACAGTCAACATCTAGAATGAATTTTGACTGAATATAACAACCTTAACGAATATTGCATACTTTTTAATCCAGCAATTTCACTTGGAGGAATCTAGCCAAAAGACTAGCTATGAGAGCCTAAAATACAAACATAATGTTAAAACAAAACTGTTCACTGCGACAATGGAAACCACACCTACCATAGGGTAGGCCTCAGTAGGATGGAATATTATACAGCCACGACACATATTTACAAGGACTTTCAAATTACATCATCAATGTTATTTAATGTTAACTGGTAAAAGCAGTTGAAGTGGTCTAAACAGGAAGAATGAAAATATGTTGGAAAAGCACATACACAGCTAAATGTTTGCAAGAAACAGACATTGCAACATAGTGTGTTAAGAATGATTTCCTGGGTGGTAAAATTTGTAGCAGTTTCATTATCTTCTTCTCAATTGCTCTCAGCTTTCATCAGTAAACACTGACAAATAAAAGGAAATGAATGTTTTTCAAAGACTATTTAAAAACCAAGTTAACCCTAACTCTGGGAAGGGTCTGGGGAAGAGTTCATGCTGGAAGAAGCCTTGCTTTTCCATTTTTACCACCTGGAGGGTTTTAAGTTTTGCACCAGGCTCTTATTACCTATTCAAAAATGAGTAAGTAAATAGTTTGCCAAGGAGTCACAAAAGTAAGAATACTAAAACCACAGGAGCCAAGAGGAGAACATGAGGGGATATCCAGGAAAGTGTTTTCACCTCCTGGGGGAGACAGGACTTGAGGTCCAGCCTGTCCTCTCAAGCTGAGCACCCATTACAGTCACCCCAGGACCCAGATAGTGCACACTGACTTCACTCAGCAAGATCTGCTCCATCTGACCCAAAATGCTCAAGTTTGGTCAGGGTTTTTCCCAAGAATGAAGGTAGGCCAGACAGGGGAGGGACTTCAGTGGGCACCAGGGCAGGACCACTGACTAGGACTCCTGTGTTCCCTGGGTCTGGGAGGGTTGGACCCAAGCCATGAGCAATGAATGGGTGAGGCTTGCCCCAACTCCCAATCACCTCTATGAGTCAGGAAAACCATCTAAATGGCCCACCACCCTGTGGAGAATCATCTAAATGAGACCCCTGCTTTCCAGAAATAGCTTTGAAATCAATGTACTGGACTTCAGCCTTTGAGGCACTTTTCCAGCATGGCCAGCAGCTGCATCTTCAGGGCCTCACTGCCCATGACCAGTGTGGTCAGATCTTCGGTGTCCCTCCACTTCAGGTGCTTGAGGATGACCATGGCTTCATTATAGAGCTTTTGCTTCTTATCAGGCAGCAGCTCCATTATGGTTTGAGGAATTGGTTTGAACTGTCCGCTTATCATCCATGTATGTGAGAGACCCCCAACAGCACCAACTAGAAAACAAGGAAGGTTCAATTAGTTGGTTCAATGTGTGCTCTTCTTGGGAGCATGTCCACGGCCGTGACAAGTGAGCACATTTACAAACATGCCAGAATGGGCTCGGCATCGTGCCCGCTCCACCCCTTGGTGAGGGGGCAAGTGTTTCTGGGGTCCTTGTTCCATTTGGCTCAGATAACTGACACCCAACATGCCCTTCCTTAAGCTGTGCACTCAACAGATGCAGCATAAAGCATCTCCCACCACACAGCTCTGAGAACTAAAATCTTCTCCAGGGCCCGCAGGTTTCCTGTTTCCCACAAAACTCTCTCATCTTAAAGGACAGAGCTGAGAAGCCAGGGCATTTGCAAGGAGAATCATCTCAGTGGTGAGGCTGAGTTTTCTTCATAATATGCACTTTGCCCCTGAACATTGGAAATTTTCAGTGAAATCCTATGGTTAAAGGACCCTGTGGACAGAAAAGGAGACCATACTCTGGAAGCAACTGTTTTTCATGCCAGCCCTCCAGAGTGGTATGATGATAACTATCAAATAGAGCTTACTCAACTATTTCTCTTCCTGTGACCCCGAAAGGGCATAGCCATTATTTTGAAGTGTAAATTTATGATCGATTTAAGGTGTATGATTTTGGGACTTGAGGCCCTTATGTCAATGGAAAGTTCTTTCTCAGCAGGTGGGATGTAGGTTTGCTACAGGTAGGTGCCCTGGGGCAGGGGTCTCCAACTCAAGTGCCTTCAGGGGGCAGGCTGTAGATGAAAGGAATGAAGAAGCATGAGTGAGCCTGTGGGTGATGGTGAGCGGGGTCCCTGTCTAAATGGGCAGTGGCACTGTTGTTCAACAGAATGCTCAAAGTCCTAGGCTCAGCAATCAGACAACAACAACAACAAAAGAGGAGACATTCAAATTGGTAAAGAAGAAGTCAAACTCTCACTCATTCAGGATGATATGATACCCAAAAGATGGTACCCCCAAGTTTCCTAGAACTGATACAGCTGTTCAGCAACATAGCAGGATACAAAATGAATGCCCAGAAAACAGTTACATTTCTCTACACCAACAATGAGCTTGAAGAAATAGAAATTAAGGAATCAATCCCATGTACAATTGCACCAAAACCATAAGACACCTAGGAATAAACTGAACCGAAAAGGTAAAGGATCTGTACTCTAAAAACTCCGTAACACTTATAAAAGAAATTGAGGAAGGCACAGAAAGAGAAAAACATCTCACACTCATGGATTAGAAGAACAAATATTGTTAAAATCTCTACACTGCCCAGAGCAATCTACATAGTCAATGCAATCCCTATCAAAATACCACCGACATTGTTCACAGAGGTGGAACAATCAATTCTAAAATTTGTATGGAACCAAAAAAGACCCTGGATATCCATAGTAATGTTGCAAAGAATGCCAATGCTAGGGGCATCAGAGTTTCTGACTTCAAACTATATTACAAAGCTGGGATCATCAAGTCAGCATGGTACTGGCACAAAAACAAACACATAGACCAATGGAACAGAATAGAGAGCCCAGAAATGAACCCTCAACTCTATGGTCAACTAATTTTTGACAAAGCGGGAAAGAATACTCAATGGAAAACATAGAGTCTCTTAAATAAACAGTGCTGGGAAAATTGGATGTCCACATGTAGAAGAATGAAAATGAAAAATTCTCTTAACCCTACCCAAAAGTAAACTCAAAACGGATGAAAGACCTCAATGTGAGACAAGAATCCATCAAAATCTTAGAGAAGAACATAGGCAGGAAACTCTTTGACCTCAACCATGTCAACTTCTTCCTAGACACATCTCCAATGTCAAAGGAAACAAAAGCAGAAATGAAGTATTGGGACTTCATCAATATAAAAAGCTTCTGCACAACAAAGGAAACCATCAGCAAAACTAAAAGGCAACCTACAGAAAGGTAGAGGATATTTATATATGACCCTACAGACTGATATCCAAGATCTATAAAGAACTTCTCAAACTCAACACCTAAAGAACAAATATAATCCACTCAAAAGAAATGGGCAGAAGGTATGAGCAAATATTTCTCAAAAGAAAACATACAAATGGCCAACAGACACATGAAGAAATGTTCCACATCATGTGGCATCAGGGAAATAGAAATCGAAACTAAAACGAGATACCAAGACCAGTCAGAATGGCTAAAATTAACAAGGCAGGAAACAACAAATGTTTGAGATGATGAGGAGAAAGGGGAAACCTTCTACACTGTTCGTTGCAAGGCAATCTGTGAAAGCCACTCTGGAAAACGGTATGGAGGTTCCCAAAGAAGTTAAAAATACAGCTCCAATATGACCCCAAAATTGCACCACTGGGTATTTATCCCAAAGATACAGATGTACTGAAAATAAGGAGCAGCTGCATCCCAGTGTTCATTGCAGCAATGTATACACACACACACACACACACACATGCAATGGAATATTAGCCATCAGAGAGGATGAATACTTACTATTTACACCCACATGGATGTAACTGCAGGGTATTATGCTAAGTGAAATAAGTGAATTAGAGAAAGACATATATCGTATGGTTTAACACATATGCGGGCTATAAAAAACAGTGCAGAGAACCATAAGGGAAGGTAGTGAAACCTGAACAGGAAAAAAAAGAAAGGGAGCAGGCCAGGAGAGACTCTTAATTATGGGAAACAAAAGAAGTGTTACTAAAGGGGAGGTAGTTAGGGTGTGAGGTAACTAGGTGATGGGCATTAACAAGGCAGAGGTTGTGATGAGCACTGGGTGTTATATGCAACTGATTAATTGTTGAACACTACATCTGAAGATAATGATGTACTCTATCTATTTAAATTGAATTTAAATAGAAATAAAAAATGGGGCGCCTGGGTGGCTCAGTGGTTTAAGCCTCTGCCTTCGGCTCGGGTCATGGTCTCAGGGTCCTGGGATCGAGCCCCGCATCGGGCTCTCTGCTCAGCAGGGAGCCTGCTTCCCTTCCTCTCTCTCTGCCTGCCTGTCTGCCTACTTGTGATCTCTGCCTGTCAAATAAATAAATAAAATCTTTAAAAAAATAGAAATAAAAAATAAAGGAGCAGTGTCTACCTCTTGACAGTTCATTTCTACTACACAGAATGCAAGATGTATATCCTGAGAAGTCTCTTAACTATTAAATATTGATGATCAGATATTAATAGGTGCAGTCCAGCTGTACTTAGGGACTCTCTTTGAAAAAGCAGAGTGTGGAAAGGGGAGACATTGACTTCAAAATGGACAAACCTGGCAAAGACCACCTTAACCAGGTGATCAAGGTGTCCATCACCAGGAAGGACTGTGGATGTCACATGTCCCTAAAATGGTGCTATGAGATAGGTGCTCCCCCTCTGTCTGTGGTATGATTTCCCAAGGTCCACAACCCCAGGATAAGCATGATAAAACATCAGGCCGACCCAAACGGAGAAGCATTCTACAAGTACCTGCCCAGTATTCCTCAACAGTACCAGATCATGAAAAAAAGCCAAGTCTGAGGAACTGTCACAGAGCCTGGGAAACTAAGGAGACCTGAGGATTAAATGCACTGTGATCTCTTGAGCTGGATTCTGGGAAAGATCTTAAGACAAATGAAAAGATCTTAATGCCAAAACTTGAAAAGTACAAATAAAGTCTGGAAACCAGTTGTTAGTGATCCATCAGTGTTGACTTCATAGTTTTCATGGTGGTAATGTTACGGGAACTGGATGAGGGATATCTAGGCATTCTCTGCACAGTCTCAGCAATGTGTCTGTAGTTCTACTACTATTGCAAAATTCAATGTTTATCTGACAGAATAGAGCCCACGCCAGAGAGAGCCCAGTTGTGGGCTGGACCCTGCCAACAGGCAGTAAAACCTGCACCCATTCAGGAAGCCAAGTGTGGAGGCATCTGGAAACACAAAACTCCCCTGGGGGAGAGCCCGGGCCAGCATCAGGCCCAGGAGACTGAAGACTGGCCCTGGTCAGCCTTCTGCTCTGCTCCAAAAGAAGGGAGGATTTAGGGAGGGAAAATCAGTCATTTACAGGTTTTACTGAACTTTCCCCACAGCACCCATGAAGCACTTTGTGCCAACAAGAAATGTACTCATCTGCACTAAACCAATATTTGATTTAGAACAACACTTCATGCAAAAAGTCATCAAGATCAAAAGCTTCTGCACAGCAAAGGAAACAGTCAACAAAACAAAGAGTCAACCCATGGAATGGGAGAAGATATTTGCAAATGACAGTACAGACAAAAGGTTGATATCCAGGATCTATAAAGAACTCCTCAAACTCAACACGCATAAAACAGACAATCATATCAAAAAATGGGCAGAAGATATGAACAGGCACTTCTCCAATGAAGACATACAAATGGCTAACAGGCACATGAAAAAATGTTCATCATCACTAGCCATCAGGGAGATTCAAATTAAAACCACATTGAGATACCACCTTACACCAGTTAGAATGGCCAAAATTAGCAAGACAGGAAACAAAATGTGTTGGAGGGGATGTGGAGAAAGGGGAACCCTCTTCCAATGTTGGTGGGAATGCAAGTTGGTGCAGCCACTTTGGAGAACAATGTGGAGATTCCTCAAGAAATTAAAAATAGAACTTCCCTATGACCCTGCAATTGCACTACTGGGTATTTACCCCAAAGATACAGATGTAGTGAAAAGAAGGGCCATCTGTACCCCAATGTTTATAGCAGCAATGGCCACGGTCGCCAAACTGTGGAAAGAACCAAGATGCCCTTCAACGGACGAATGGATAAGGAAGATGTGGTCCATATACACTATGGAGTATTATGCCTCCATCAGAAAGGATGAATACCCAACTTTTGTAGCAACATGGACGGGACTGGAAGAGATTATGCTGAGTGAAATAAGTCAAGCAGAGAGAGTCAATTATCATATGGTTTCACTTATTTGTGGAGCATAACAAATAGCATGGAGGACAAGGGGAGTTAGAGAGGAGAAGGGAGTTGAGGGCAATTGGAAGGGGAGGTGAACCATGAGAGACTATGGACTCTGAAAAACAATCTGAGGGTTTTGAAGGGGTGGGGGGTGGGAGGTTGGGGGAACCAGGTGGTGGGTATTAGAGAGGGCACGGATTGCATGGAGCACTGGGTGTGGGGCAAAAACAATGAATACTGTTACACTGAAAAGAAATAAAAAATTTAAAAAAAATAATATGATAGGGAAAAAAATAAAAATAAATAAAAAGTGAAAAAAAAAAGTCACCAGGAATATCGACCAGCAAATTACTAGCTCTTTGGATAAGAGAAAATTCCTTGGTTTTCTGGGTAAAATGATGCTCCACCCACGACTAGTGGCTTCAGGTAGCAAATTCCCGGGTTCTCCTGGCAGACGTCCTGTTCTCTATCAGATTTGACAGAATCTGCATAAGATATGTGCTCCCACAATGGCATCTGGGAATAGCTATAGGATAAATGATCCCATCAAGCCCTCTCCTGAGCACATTAGGTGGGGGTGGGGGACCAAGATGTAGAATGTCACTGAGGAAGAAGTCCATGGACACGTTTCCTCCCTCACTGGCTGCCCATTGGATGTTGAGAAGCTGAATTCAGGACTCACTAATTCACAGGTAGGAAAGGGACATGTACAGGTGGAAGGTCTGGGGTCACCCACACACTGATTTACTCCCCAGTGTGAGCTCTGCATCACGAAATGTCCTTGAATGCCAATCCTGCCATAGAAAGGCAGAACAAGGCAGGAAGCCATGCCAGGAGCCAGAAACAGAAGCCAACCTGGCAGACAGGCAGTCACCTCCCCAGCCTGTGTTCATGTACTGTGAGCTCTCCCACATCCCCAGCACAGGCTGGCTGGCACAGAGCAGGCATTCAGTTATGTATCTGCTGAGCCCAGTGTGGCAGACCATGCCTTTGCTGCTCCCCTGTGCTGCAGGGTCCATCTGAGGCACCTCACCGGAGGTGTAATCCAGCCCCTCCTCATGTCAGACCCACACAGCAGTCCGCTCTCTGATGCCACCCTGGCCCAAGGGGAAGACCACACCAGAATTCTTCCTACTCTTAAGACAAAGGAGGCAACCCTTCCTAGCTTCAAGAAATGATGGGAAAAATCAGCCAAATTTCCATTCGTAGCCCAAAACTGGCTCTCAAGTAGAAGCAGGTGGCAAAGACGGGGACAGGGATGGCCACCTAGGAGAGTTTGCTGCTTTTGCTGCATTAGACTGTTGGTTTCAGAATGGGGTGGTCTCCATGAATGAGCTCATGTGAAATGGCCAGACAGCATCTGCTCCTAGGAGGTGCTCAGCACCTCCCAGCTTCCTCCCTGCTTCTCCTCTGCAGTGACATACAATGGTGACAGGGGGAGGAGACCATCCAAAGGACCCAGGACACCCTGATGTCTTCAGAGGCTGGGACATATTCCTGAGGGGAGAGGCGCCCTCCAGGTCTGTATCACTCACATGCCATTTACAAGGATGGCCTGCATTTCAGAGACCTTCACACTCAGAAGCCTGTGTTTTCTTTTCTTTTTTTTTTCTTCTAAGAAGCTTTATTTTTTTAATTGTATTATGTTAGTCACCATACAATACATCATTAGTTTGATGTAGCGTTCCAAGATTCATTGTTTGCATGTAACACCCAGTGCTCCATGCACTTCGTGCCTTCCTTGATACCCACAACCAGGCTCAACCAGCCCCATTCCCCTCCCCTAAAACCCTCAGTTTGTTTCTCAGAGACCACAGTCTCTCATGGTTCATCTCCCGCTCTGATTCCCCCTGCCCTCACTTTTCCTTTCCTTCTCCTAATGTCCTCCGTGTTCTCCCTTATGTTCCACAAGTAGGTGAAACCATATATTATTGACTCTTTCTGCTTGACTTACTTAACTCAGCATAATCTCCTCCAGTCCCATTCATATTGATGCAAAAATTGGGTATTTATCCTTTCTAATGGCTGTGTAATATTCCATTATATATATGTGTAAGAACCTATTTAGCCAGAGCAACTCCATCTTGGTTAAAAGCCATTTTGTTGTTTGTGCAGTAAAAGTTAAACTGACCCTGCCCCCTCGCCCCCCCCAGAAGAACATACTTAGAAAGAAGCAAGTCTGGGAAACCAGTAAAATATGGTCAGCTAGTTCCTAATAACAGAGTCCAGAATACAAGGCCATATCGGCCAGTTCTTGATAACAGAGCCCAGAATACAAGGACGAGTCAGGCCAGGTGGAGACATCCAATCATTAAGAAACACACATACTTTTTCCCTAACCACCAAAGAATGTAAACCCCACCGCTTGGGCACCAACCTTGAGCACCAGTTCTGACCAGAGTAATAGGTTAGTTCAAACAGCTACTATAGGTAAATTGTAATTCAATTGGCCACCTGTGTGTGACCTAACATGACTACAATCTCATTGGCCACCTATGTGTGGCCAGACTTTTGTCCTATAAAAGGTAGTCTGTAAGATGGGGAGGGGTCGCTCTCTTCAGAGGCGGCCCTGACTGGTCAGTCAGTCAATTCTTGAGCCTGTAAGCTGGAGGTGGTTGCTCTCTTCGGAGATGGCCCTGGCCGGTCAGTCTGACTTCTAATGCTTAGCATAGAATAGAGCTTTGCCTAACTTTCACCTTGTCTCAGTCTCATTCCCCTGGCCAATCAGTCTGATTTCTAATACTTGGCATAAATAGAGCTTTAAATAACTTTTACTTTGTCTCAGTCTCTTTTCATTTAATAATGGACCTAACGATATGGACCACATCTTCTTTATCCATTCGTCTGTTGAAGGTCATCTCAGCTCTTTCCACACTCTGGCTCTGTGGACACTGCTGCTATGAACATTGGGGTACAGATGGCCCTTCTTTTCACTACATCTGTATCTTTGGGGTAAATACTTAGCAGTGCCATTGCAGGATCATAGGGTAGCTCTATTTTTAATTTTTGAGGAAACTCCACACTCTTTTCCAAAGTGGCTGCACCAACTTGCATTCCCACCAACAGTGTAAGACTGTTCCCTTTCCCCATATCCTCTCCAACACTTGTTTCCTGCCCTGTTAATTTTTGCCAATCTAACTGGTATAAGGTAGCTTCTCAGTGTCATTTTGATTTGAATTTCCCTGATGGCTAATGATATTAAACATTTTTTTCATGTGTCTGCTAGCCATCTCTATGTGTTTTCTGTTTTAAATTATTTTTATTTATTTATTTGACAGAGAAAGAAACAGCTAGAGAAGAAACACAGCAGAGGGAGTGGGAGAGGGAGAAGCAGGCCCCCCAGTAGAGCAGGGAGCCCAATGTCAGGCTCGATCCCAGGACTCTGGGATCATGACCTGAGCCAATGGCAGATGCTTAATGACTGAGCCACCCAGGTTCCCTTCTATGTGTTTTCAATAGGATGAATTAGGGACACAAAGATCATGTCACAAAAGCAACTGCAACTCAGCAAACATGTCCCACAGGACAGAGATTTTTGTGAGGTCTCTGTGGTTTCAAAGTCTTTTATTACAACACCCCCAAGACTGGCTGTCCTGCAAGGCTTACCAACAGCAGCTCCAGGTGGGCCTCTGACCAGATCACCGATAACTCCACCCACAGCTGGTTCCAAGCTCCCCTTCTTTTCCCTCTGCTCAGTGATGCAGCACAGCAGCTTCATGACATCTTCCACCTTGAGAGGTTTCTTGGCGAGCCTCGAAGGAAGCATTTCAAAGAGAAAGTTTTAATGAGTGTCAGAGTATTTGCACCCAAATGTCACTCTTGCTAGAGTTTGAAGGACATCCTCAAGCAGAGAACAGGAGCTCTGCTGTATGCAAACCAACAGTACCCAGCAATGTGATGGGTTCCTTGTCACAGAGGAAGTTGGGGAGCCACTAGTTAATAAGCACACAGAACCCGCAGAGGGATGGAGGTCTTCCTTGCCCTCTGCATAACTTCTCATGACAGATTACAGAACAGGTTCAGGCACAAGCTGCAGTGTTTCATCACAAGTGAGGCAAGTGTGCCCTTTCTCACGTCTGTGGCCTTCCTGCTGGCTCAGGCACCCCCAGTGCACAGAGCCTGGAAGAGGGCAGATTGTCCCAGCCTTGAGTCCTCTGTCATGTGACAGGCCAACCGAGCTCATGCCAAGCCCAAGAAGGGGAAAGTACTGGGCTCCGTGACCACCCTGGCCTGTGCCCACACCTGCCCTGTGAACCTGAGCCGAGCATCAGATTCCTCACCTGTAAAGGGAGATAAGCCACCTTCCAGCTGGATTCTGGAAAGGTCTGAGGGGAATGGATGCAAAGTACCTGTGGTGAGTCTGGAAAGCGTGGCCCTGAGAACTGATGGCTCTAAATGAATGTTCTGTTACTGATACACACCACTGGCTTTTCTGTAAGCCACCCCTCCTAACCCCCATCCAGTTCTGCGTGGGGGATAGTAAAGGTAGGGACAGGATGGCCCTAAGAATGACCAGTAAGATGGAACAACCAGAGAATAAAATAAACCAAAGAATTCCAGAGGTTTGCATGTGTTTGCATAGACAGACAGATGGACCTTTGGAACAATGTCCTTTGAACAATTTTCGGTGGTCAGGAAACTGTTATCCGCACTGGTGGGAAACTGACAGGCACACAGGGCAAAGGCAGGGTGGGCTCTGCCCCAGGGTCAGTGGGTATGGAGAGCCACAACACTGAGGGGACACCTGACAGGACCCGGAACCCAATTCAAATTGGCCATGAGCTGGTGCTTCTCCTCTTGGCTTCAACTGGACCCAAGGCTGGAAGGGCCCTTTCTTTCCTTCACTCCCCTTTTCATACAAGCAGTCCCTAAAAGATCTTGACACAGTTTGGGGCAGACCCTTTGCTCAAGAACTCTTGGTTACATCTCCTTTTGACCCAAGGAAAATCCAGAACCAGACACTCCTCTAGAAATCATCCTCTCAATCCTAGGGGAGAATTTTGAGCCCCTAGAACCAGTCTGTAGGTCTACTGGATCACCACAGTCAGGATTCAGAACCTCTCCACTATTCCAGGAAGATAATTAGTGTCCTGGGCTCTGGATCCTGCCATGTTCTAAATCAGTGATTCTCCATAAGTGCACCCCACTTCGGACAGCAAGACCCTAAGAGAGCATGACCCAGACATCAGACATCGGCTCCTTAGTCCTCGAGTTCAAAAAGTGCAAACAAGCATCCCCTAAAAGTGTCTGTTTGACCATGTGGGGTGTAGAGGCCATGAAGGGGCCAGGCCTGCAGGGGTGCTCAAGGGACTGGAGGAGAAGTCAGGAGTGCCTGCCCCCACTCTGGCGCCATGTGTCCTGGACCTGCCAGCACACCGCTAAGCTTCCTGTCCCTTTGCTCACTGCTGGCAACCCCTTGCAGGGAATGGAATATCTGTCCATTATCCTGAGAAAAGGGGAGATGAAGCTTGGATCTGGGAAGGCCCCTCTGGGGGCTTCAGTGAGCTTCCCATTTCCAGGCACATGAAGACCCTAAGCATGGTCTTTAAGGCTGGCTCCCTGGCCAGGGCACTCTGCCCAGATACCACTCCTAAAACAGGGTTTCTGCACAATTATTGACCTGCACTTGGAAACACTTTCTGCAGGGCAAGAAAATGTGTGGAAAGGAAGCAGGAAACAGCCATGTCACACTCTGGTCCATCAAAGAACCTAGCTTCCCACCTGCTCTGAATGACTTCATACAAACCCAGAGGGGCTAATAAAACATCATCATGCAAAGACTACTTACTTCCAACCTCCTCTCAGCCCAGGCAGAGCAGCCCAAGGCAGGAGCCCTGGGCTCTGTAGACCTGGAGGGCCAGGAGGTGGCCCGGTGTGTGGGAGGGCACGAGAGGCCCACCTCTGGCTGGGTTCAACAGCTTCACACCACAGCAAGACGTGGCACTGTGGCTGCCTCAATGCAAGACAGAGCTGGTTTAATTTCTGTGTGAAAATCATTTTAGACTTTAGAGCATCAACAGACTCTTGTGGAAGAATGGTTTGTCACCCCATCTCCTGAGTCCTTGCTGGAAAGCCCACCCTCCTGACTTCTCAGGGATTGCCAAATTGAAGGAAGCCAGTCCTGCTTCCCCTCCCACTCCAAGCTTGCATTTGTCTGTGAGCAACAAGGAAGCCAGGAAGGAGGGAGGAGGGAGGAATAGTACATTGATGGGGACCGAGCTCAAAGTGTGGGAATGGGGTCTCCCCATCCCACTTCACACCTATTCAGTATCAGCTTTTTCTACAACATGGGCTCTGGTCACAGAAAGCCCATCTGCCAGCCACAGGGAAGGCAAATGGCAACTTGAAGCCCTGGATTCTTGCAAGCACCAGGCTGCTCTGCTGATGACAGCAAGGTTCTGGGGAAGAATGAGATCAGCCCATCCCTGGGACTGCAGCCTGGCTTCTTGAGATGGACCAGATTGTGAGAGAGGCTTCAGAGCTAATGGAGACCCACATGCACTGTGTTAAAAAAAAAAAAAATTGGAAAAGCAGAGCCTCTTAAGGAGTCAGAGTGATCTTGCTCACCTGCCATCCTCAGTACTTTCTACTTCTCTGTTGAATTTATGAAACTCCTCTGTGTGGCCTGGCTCTTGCAAGCCTTGTGTCCCCACTTCTGTAGGTCTGCTCCAAAGGTCCCATGTGGGACCCCACTAGCACTTTCGGATATGCCCACAGACTTTTTAATGACTGAAGTGTTGCCAGTATTTAAAAACCAGATTTAACGTACATCTGATTTCTGATTTCTCTTGAAAAATCAAAAGAACACTTTCCCATAGATGCAGAGGCCAAAGCTAAGCAGGTCCTGGCAGGGCGACCTTACCTGAGCAGAGGCTCATAAATAGGTCATCTGCAACCTCTCAAAGTCCCCCTGCTTCCTCTTTTAAAGGCTAACAAAGCTACCAGTCCCCACCACAGGAATTGTCCCCTCCGAGATCCCTAACATCCATTCTTGATCATCTCTAAACATTATCTTCAGGGCGAGGCCAGGGGTTGGGACTCAAGGGGTATCCTAGGACTCTGTCCCGGATTTGTAACACCTGCCGCCCCACCCACGCACCTGGGAGGCAGATGAGGGTGACGCACACCCCGGAGTTACTGAAGATGGCACATACATGAGAGTAACTCAAGAGGTCATAAACAAACTGGGGTCACTCAGCTGGGTGCCAGGGCCCTGAGTCCCACTGCCTGGGTTGTAACCCCAGCTGGGCTGCTTCTGCTTACTTCTGGTGTGACATCAGCCTCTCTCTGTCTCAGTGGCTTCTTGTGGGAAATGAATACCTTAGCGACGTGGATCCGGCTCCGCGCCCCACCTCACCTGCACCACACCTGTGCACCCAACCCTTCACCTGCTGGGATGCGACCCCTGGCGCCAGAAGACCTAAGGACTGGCTTCTCCGGCCCCACCCAGGGTCTCCTAGCCCCGTGGCTGCCCCAGCGTGCAGACCCTCTCCCTGACGCCTTCCGGCTCGCCCACGCAGGAGGGCCTTCTGGTCCCCACTCACCGTGGCACCAATGCCACCACTACTATCACCACCACTGCTGCTGCCACTGCCGCTGCCGCCTTCATCCTCTCTGCCGCTATCTCCGCTGCCGCTGCCGCCTTCATCCTCTCTGCAGCTGCCTCCGCTGCCGCTGCTGCCTTCATCCTCTCTGCCGCTGCCTCCACTGCCGCTGCCGCTGCTGCCTGCATCCTCTCTGCCGCTAACTCCGCTACTATGGTCCTCCTGGCCGCTACCACCACAGCCACTACCGCCACCACTGCCACCACTATGGCCACCAGCACCACTACCCTCACAGACAGGCTGTGCTGCTTTGGCGCCTTCACCTTCACGCGATGCTTCTCTGACTTCGGCTTGTTGGCCAGGTGTTGCCTAGGACCTGGAGACTGAGGGCTCCTGGGGAGCTTCTCCTGAGGGTCCATCTCTACCCTCTACCACACACGTTTTATCTGGGCTTCCCTTGCACCTTCCTGAAGCTGGAGGAGGCCTCTCTCTTTGGTTTCGATTCAATATCTCTGACCCTTGGGCCTAAGGAAGCTCCCCGCCCTCTTCATTGGGCTTGAGGGAGAGCCCAGCAACACACGGAAGCTCAAGGTGCTAAGTTAATGTTTGCTGAATGTATGGGCCAAAGTCCAACATAGGTTGTCCCCCATCTGCTGCAGCAGCGCAGGCCTCTGGGTGGGGGGGTTTGAGAGGCTAAGCACTGGCTTCACTCCTACGGTTCCAACAGAAGGGGGAGTCCACCTTCCAGGACAAAGTGAGGTTGGGGAACCTCTTGGGAGGGGGCAGAGGTGTGTGTGGTGGGCTTGCAGGCAGTCCTTCAGAGGGAGCATGGAGACGATTCCCTCCCCATCCCGCACCCCAAAACACACACACACACACACACACACACACACACACACACACACAGGCTGGCCTTGAACCATCTGAAATCTGAAAAAGGCTCCTGGGGCTTTCTATGAACTAGCCCACTTAATCCTGACACTGTCCTCCCACCTAGGCATGGTTGCCACTGCAGTATTACAGATAGCTACAAGAGGTTGGTCTGCCCAAGGCCACCCAGGTAGGGAGTATCAAGGTCCACACTCTAACTTGGGTCCACCTGGCTCAAAGTCCTCACTGTGCCTCTTTCACACACAGTCTTTTTGTTTCATTTTCTTCTCGTCCTTCCTTTTAATGGGAAAGTACTTTGGGAGGATATATGCCATATATACACACACATATATACACCATAATATTCAACATATAAATATACACACACATTGCTGAATTCCTGTATCAGTTCTAGCAATTTTGGAGTAGAGACTTTTGAGTTTTCTACATACACATCACGTATCTGCAAATAGTGAGAGTTTGACTTCTTTGCTTATTTGGATGCATTTTATTGCCTTTTGTTATCTTATTGCTGAGGATAGAATTTTCAGTACTAAGTTGAACAATAGTAGTGACGGTAAACATCTTTGTAGTATTCTTTTTTCCCACTTTTTAAAAAATTTTTTATTATGTTATGTTAGTCACCATACATCATTAGATTTTGTTGTAGTGTTCTAAGATTCATTGTTTATGTATAATACCCAGTGCTCCATGCAATTTGTGCCCTCCTTAATACCCACCACCAGGCTCACCCATTCCCCCCACTCCCTCCCCTCTAAAATGCTCAGTTGGTTTCTGGAGTCCACAACCTCTCATGGTTCATCTCCCCTCCAATTGCCCCCCTTCACTTTTCCTTTCTTTCTCCTAATGTCCTCCATGTTCTTCCTTATGTTCCACAAGTAAGTGAAACCATATGATAATTGACTTTTTCTGCATGACTTATTTCACTGAGTATCATCTCCCCCAGTCCCATCCATATTGATGCAAAAGTTGGGTATTCATCTTTTCTGGAGGCTGAGTAATATTGCGTTGTATATATGGACCATATCTTCTTATCCATTCATCTGTTAAAGGGCATCTCAGCTCCTTCCACGGTTTGGCAATTGTGGACATTGTTTCTATGAACATTGGGATGGGGTTAAAACCCAGTAGTGCAATTACAGGGTCATAGGGTAGCTTTAATTTTTTGTGGAATCTCCACACTGTTTTCTGAAATGGCTGCACCAACTTGATTTCCCACCAACAGTCTAAGAGGGTTCCCCTTTCCCCACATCCTCTCCAACATTCATTGTTTCCTGCCTTGTTAATTTTTGCCATTCTAACTGGTATGAGGTGATATCTCATTGTGGTTTGGATTTTAATTTCCCTGATGGCAAATTATAATGAACATTTTTTCACATGTCTGCTAGCCATTTGTATGTCTTCATTGGAGAAGTGTCTGTTCATGTCTTCTGCCCATTTTTTTACTTGATTATCTGCCTTTGGGTGCTGAGTTCCAGGAGTTCTTTCTAGATCTTGGATATCAGCGCTTTGTCTGCAGTGCCATTTGCAAAAATTTTCTCTCATTCTGTGACTGCCTCTTTGTTTTGTTGACTGTTCCCTTTGTTGTGTAGAAGCTTTTGATCTTGATGAAGTCCCAAAAGTTCATTTTTCTTTTGATTCCCTTGCCCTTGGAAACATGTCTTGAAAGGAGTTGTTATGGCCAATGTCAAAGAGGTTACTGCCTATGTTCTTCTCTAGAATTTTGATGGATTCCTGTCTAATGTTGAGGTCTTTCATCCATTGTGAGTTTATCTTTGTGTATGGTGTAAGGGAATGGCCGAGATTCATTCTTCTCTATATAGCTGTCCAATTTTCCCTGCACCATTTATTAAAGAGACTGTCTTTTTTCCAATGGATAATTTTTCCTTCCTTAATTGAAGATTATTTGACCACAGAGTTGAGGGTCCATGTCTGGGCCCTTTACGCTATTCCATTGGTCTGTGTGTCTGTTTTTGCTCCAGTAAGATGCTATCTTGATTTTCATAGCTTTGTAATAAAGTTTGAAATCAGGCAATGTGATACCCCCAGCTTTGTTTTTCTTTTTCAACATTTCCTTGGTGATTTGGGGTCTTTTCTGGTTCCATACAAATTTTAGGACTGTTTGTTCCAGCACTTAGAAAAATGTCATTGGCATTTTGATTGGGATGGCATTGAAAGATAGATTGCCCTGGGCAGCGTAGACATTTTAACAATGTTTATTCTTCTGATCCATGAGCATGGAATGTTTGTCCATCTTTTTTGTGTCTTCTTCAATTTCTTTCATGAGTGTTCTATAGTTCCTCAAGTATAAATTCTTTACCTCTTTGGTTGGGTTTATTCCAAGGTATCTAAGGCATTTGGGTGCTTTAGTAAATGGAATTGATTCCCTAATTTCTCTTTCTATAGTTACATTGTTAGTGAATGGGAAAGCAACTGATTTCTATGCATTGATTTTGTGTCCTGACACATTACTGAATTGCTGTATGAGTTTGAGTAATCAGGGGGTGGAGTCTTTTGGGTTTTCCACATAAAATACCATGTCATCTGTGAAAAGAGAGAGTTTGACTTCTTCCTTGCCAATTTGAATACCTTTTATTTCTTTTTGTTGTCTGATTGCTGTTATTAGGACTTCTAGTACTATGCTGAACAACAGTGGTGAGAGTGGGCATCCTTGTAGTGTTCTTGATCTTATGTAAAAGACTTATAGGTTAATAAAAATAGATGGAAGGAAAGAAAGAGAGAAGGAATGAAAGAAAGAAAGAGAGAGAGAGAGAGAGAGAAATAAAAAAAAAAGAAAAGGCTCTCAGCTTTTCCCCATCGAGAATGATATTCATTGTGGGCTTTTCATAAATGGTTTTTATGAAATTGTGGAATGATCCCTAAATCCCTACAATCTGGAGCGTTTTAATCTTGAAGGGATGCTGTGTTTTGGGGCTCCTTGGCAGATCAGTCATTTTGTGTCTGCCTTCTGCTCAGCTCATGATCCCTAGGTCTGGGGTCAAGCCCCATGTTGGGCTCCTTGCTGAGAGGGAGGCCTGCTTCGCCATCTCCCACTCTCCCTGCTTGTGCTCCTTCTCTTACTGTGTCTCTCTATCAAATAAGTAAATAAGTAAATAAATAAATAAAATCTTTAAAAGAAAAAGAATGCTGTGTTTTGTCAAATGCTTTTTCTGCATCAGTTGAGAGAATCTTATGGTTCTTGTCTATTCTCTTATTAATGTGTGTGTGTGTGTGTGTGTGTGTGTGTCCCACAGCCCTGACTAGGAACCAGCCTCCTGTAGCAGAAAGCAGCAACAAGATACAATGGAAGCAAGGATACACCTGCCCCCACCCGCTCCCCCACCGCAGAGAGCGAGAAGCCCAGAGGCAGGCAGGCGGACAGCCCAGCCAACTGCAGGCAGGACCTGCCAAAAGTGAGCGCTGCTTAGAGAAGCCTGGGTGCAGAACAGCAGGAACAGCTTCCATCAGCGGAGTGAGCCTACATGGACCCCCACCCTGCCCGCAGGCCGTATGGCCTCTGCTGCCGTGGACAGGCCTCGGATCCTCTCTAGCCTACCAGAAGGCAAGCACAGTACCACACGCCAATGACCGAGCCAATGAATTCACACTTCCGAGGGTTATTTTCTCTTGCTACGCACAAGCAAGGGCATCATAAAGCCCTGATTCCTCTCCTGGGTTCCATCCTGCTCTCTGCTCCCGGATCACTTAGCAGCCCCTGCGGCAGAGCACAGGCCAGGTCTGTGTGGCCCATGCCCCACCAACAATCTGGCGAGGAGGCCACCGACTTCTCGCTGTTTACACTTCCCTCTCCCCTCCGCAGCTCCCAGAAGTTTCCATACATACAGATGTAGGTAATCAAAGACTTCCCAGCCCCAGTAGCTCTGCTCCTGAAGGCTTCTGCAGAGCCTGCTCCCTCTGCTGGCCTTGTGGCTCTGAAAGGCTCTTAAACCAGCCCTCAAATCTCTCCCCAGGAAGGAAGACTCCTCCTTGCCTGCAGATCCACAGTCATTTGTCCAGTACTTTATGGTCAGTAATAATACTAATAACACCTTGATGGAGAGGAGAAGGGAGTTGAGGGAAATTCAAAGGGGAGATGACCCATGAGAGACTATGGACACTGAAAACCAATCTGAGGGTTTTGAAGGGGCGGGGGGTGGGAGGTTAGGGGAGCCAGGTGGTGGATATTATGGAGGGCACGTATTGCGTGGAGCACTGGGTGTGGTGCATAAACAATGAATTCTGACACACTGAAAAGAAATTTAAAA